AAACATGTTTTTTTATTTACTCACTGGAAGCCAGGCTGTGATTTCACTTTAACACAAACTTCTCATGATCCTGGGAGGAGGTTGTTTTCAAATCCAGTGGCTGTAAAAAGTCTACACACCCCTTTTCAAATGCCGGGGTTTTGTCATGTACAAAAAAAATAATAAACGCAAATCACGCATGCACCGAACGCCTCCGTCAACATGACTTTGACAGTGTCTTGCCTCGCCGCCGGACTGAATCTTGACGGAAAGCACGCGACGACTGGACAGGTTCTGCTCGGCGACAGACTTGCAGTGTGACATCTCGCTTGATCCAAGACACAGAACGATATTTATCTGGTTGTCTGACAGTGCGACGGTCGTTTCGTTTAACCCTTTCAGGTACAGTGCTCACTACAGTGGACAGCGGATCATGTTTTCAGGCTATCGGTTATCATTATTGGTGCATGAAAGGGTTAAGAAGGCCATTACGTACACTAAGGAACACGGTTTGGAATAGTCAGTCCTCCTCAAGGAGGAGGAAAATATAGTCCAAAAGTGTTTCATGAACAAGAACTGGACATTCCTCCAACTTTGATGCAAAAGATGAGAAGAAAGCTGGTCAGGGAGGCTTCCAGGAAGCTGACAGCAATGGTGAAGGAGCTGCAGAAATTTCTGGCTATTTAGTGTCTGTGACAACAATCTTCTATTTTCATCTTTTTCTTATTTTCAGCCTGGCATTTGATCAGGGGTGTGTAGACTTTTGAAAGCCACTGTACTGAAACAAAAAAAATTGTGCTGTCAATAGCTATTCTCTCCGAAAAAAAAATCCCCCCCGCCCCCACCTACCGCCAACATCCTGCTATTCCTGTCTTGATTGTTCACCGAAAGCCTTGCTTGACCTTTACGCTTCATCCCTAGAGGATGCAGCTTTGACCGAAATGTTTACCTTCCTGTTTTGCGGTCACCCTGGGTTTATGGTGGCCATTCTGTAATGTGCCATCTTGGCATATCTCCGCCGTTTAAAAAAAAAAAAATCACCTGCTTCCGAGCTCCCGTCTGTCACACCTCGTTGTTTGCCTTTGTGCACTTCTTTCATGGAAAAACACTTCAAATTCTCATTAAATCATAAACGGGGCACATGGTGGGAGATTTTCAACGTTATTTACATAAGCGCGTATCATAAATCCTCCGTGAAACGAGAGACTCCGTCGGAAATGCCTCAAAAGTGAATCCAACGTTCGGACATTTTATTAAGAACACCTGCAAGATACAACACACAATACTGCCTTAAAAGGAACTTCGAGGAACCAAGATCGATGCCAAAACCTTTTGCAATTATGATGAAGACCAAAGAGACCAAATAGTATCAAATTTTGCATTATCCTTGTCGTGCGAAAATTCCAGTATCAGTATTGTCATGCTAAAAAAAAAACATTCGGGCAAATCCCTAATGGGAGTCTTTTCATCCGTTTTGAAGGGACATCCGGTTCTTGTTTTGTTGTTTTTTTCTTTTTAATATTAGTTATTATATTTTTAGGCATCCCCAAAACCTGGTATTTGAACAAGGGGTTTGTAGACGTTTTAGAAGCACCGTATATGGCCCACTTGCCCACCTGCGGCTATACATTCGGTTGAACAGCTGTTCTAATCATTAACATTCGGGACAAGTAAATAAAGGAGTGACGTGCGGTGGCTGGGCCTGCGCAGGATAGCGTGCGAGATAGCCCATCATTGTGCTACGCTTGGCAGTGCCAAGTCGTCCTCCACAAGTAACAATCGTCACGTCCGCGGCTGATACGCTTTGTTGTTTCTCACCAACGTCGCTGGAACATTTGGAGAAGAGGAAAGATAAAATTGTTCTGGTGGAATGCTGCAGTATACGCACTGCTCTTTTTTTTTTTTCAAAGAGGACACTGACTAGTACTTTTTTTTTTTTGCTATTTATTTCTTATTTATTATGCTTTATTATGTAAAGTTGAAATCCATCATTATGCATTTAGTTGGGATTTTTAAAAAAGCAGCAGCCCATCCTGAAAATCATTGTCTTGAAATATTTGAATATTTTCATAAAAATAAATGCACTATTCAAAAACATTTTAACAATTTTTTTCGCGTCTTTAAAAATTATTTTAAAGAACATTAAAGAGCAATTTCTAGTGTAAAGTTAATAGAATATTACTTTAGATAGGAATGTCACTGCTTGAGGGAGAAAATAAGGTCTTGCAAATTATTCCATGAATTGGGAATGTTTTGGTTTGTTTTTTTCTTCTAGACGTGTCACATTTTTCACATTTCAAGAAAATTAATGGCCGTTTTCATTTTGAACTTACAAATATTATTTTATACGTTTCCACGGACGTAGTATACTATCTTGAACCAAGACCGCCATCTTGTGGCAAGACCGCCATCTTGTGGCAACACCCAGCTCATAGTAAATTGTCAAATGCTGTGGATTTGAAAGCACTTGATCAAAAGACCTGCATTTTAATCTCGTTTATGAAACAAAAAAATAGTAATATATTGTTTATATCATGTTGTTTTACTATTTTAGATTATTCATCGCCAGCTGTAATTTCCTATAGGAAGTTAGAAACACGGATTTTGCAGCTTTATTAAGTGAGCTGCTGACAACTTCAGGGGGCTAAGTCATTTATTTTTTACATTATGAGTTTAAGTGTCAGAAAGAAAGAAAGAAAAAAAAAATCAAGGTTTAGTTCCAATGCTCACATAGAAGGGGCACTCCATTACTGCACTCAGCTTTTTTATTTTAATTTATTTTAATTTTAATTTTGTGTGTCAGTGCAACCGAATGTTAGCATGAGTGAATGTTATGATCTTTGTTAAAGCTGACGGATGTTTGAACTTTGGGCATTATTGCACCAAACTTTTAGTGGCAGACAAAACTAAATCACTCACACAAAATTACATTTAAAAAAAATGGAGTTAGCCCATTTTGTTCTTTGTGGATCATTTGTTTTGTGCATGCTGCAACAATTATTTTCGGCCAACTAATGAGGCTCACGGAGCCATTAAACATCGAACGCCAGTTTAATTTCATCTCTCTTCCCCAGACAAATGGAAGCAAAGGCTCTCCCCCAGGCCAATTTTCCTCCACATGCAGGTTTGATTTTCTCACCGGGCAAAAGAAAGAAAAAAAAAGTTTCCAGAGAGCCGAATCCCCGCTGTCTTGTTTGTTTAGGTGCGCGCTGATTAGAAGTTCTCACGCTGTGGCACGACGTATCGAGGCGAGCTTTTTAAAACGTGTCTTCTTATCCCTTCCGTGTTTTAATGGCGCGCTTAGCCGAGCTTGGTAGCTTTGCACAGGCCGTAACGCACCAAGGCTTGAATGGGAACCAAAATCATTGATGCTGCTTCCCTCGAAATACATTTAAAAAAAAAAAAGCACCAACTGCTCACTAAAGCATACATGCATTCAATAACAGAGACAAACAGACACATTTTTACCCTGATGAGCAGGAATTTGACACATTTGTGTGCCTGTTACACATTTGACTTCATTTTACAATTCCAACAAAATGTTAATACAGTACAGGAATAGTTTTATATTTATTTTTAAGATTGTTAAGAAAATACATTAGTATGTTCAAGTGTAAAAATAGTTGTCTTCGAAAATGTGCGCATTTTTGAAAATATTTGTATATTTTTGGCAGAATAATTTTTTGTTATTATTAATAAAATTTGCTATATTGTTGATCTTTTAGCTATTTTTACTTATCCTGTAAATTTCAGTGCAGCCTCAGCTTTCCAGCATTTTTGTGCACTTTGTACAGAAATTGCATTCTGTAGTTATGAATGATGTTCTCCTACTGGGGGCTTAGTGTCCACCCAGATGGACGCATCGTCGCCATTCATTAGCCGAGAGACTATTAAATGAGGAGACGGGACGTTGAACATCTGAATAACGATGTTCCTGAGCAGCATTTTTGGAATGGGAGGGCATCTAACATCTGTTTTTTTTTCACAGCCTACTCTCTTAGCGAGGTAGCATAAAGCGTAAGGATGGTTTTAATGTCGGGCTCTGTAATGAGCTCGTGTGTGGGGGTTGAGCGCTTTCGTGTGGATTTAGCGTTTATGGGCCGTGCTGGTGCCAGAGGTGGCAATAGTACTCACACTCAAAATAGTTTCCCTCTTTTATTGACTTGCATAGTACTCCTACTGAGAAGAAGGTTTTGTGAGTTGTGGAGGATCACTGGACACGTTTTTAAAAACAACTTCCTTCCATATTCGCTAACAATGTGAACCGACAAACAACAACAAATGCTAAATTAGCTCTTGAGCTAATTTAGCAATTAGCTCTTGAGCTAATTTAGCAAAGCAAATTTGAGTAATGGAAGTGGCTGGTTTTTAGGCTGAACAAAGACAACGCATATGCCACAACATCAAACAATTCTTAAATATGGCTCTGGATGGATCTGAAACATTTGCAGTGGTACCTCTACTTACGAACGTCTCTTCATACGAAATTTTCAAATTACGAAAATGCCTTGACAGGAAAATATTGCCTCTTGTTACGAAAGAAATTTCAAGATACGAAAGGTACAAATAAAGTATGGTCTGCTCGTCGCAGCTCTGACTTTCCTGAACATACTTATAGCTGCTCTGCCATTAGCTGTTACCTAGCATCTTCCTGGCATCCCATTGGCTAAGACGGACCTCTACCATACGAGTCATGTGTGTAGATAGAAAGATATGTGTTGTTGCAGCGTCCTTGTCTTTCGTCCCTTGGAACGGATTAGGGCATTTACAGGGAAAACGCGTCTCAACTTACAAAATTTTCTACTTAAGAAATTTCTTCCAGAACCAAACTTTCGTAAGTAGACGTACCACTGTATATTATATTCGTAGATGATACAAGACAAGTACCCAAAAATGCAGATGCAAAAAAGAGATTCCATAAAAGTCTATTGAAGTAGCCTAACAAAGTATTCATGCTTCCCACAAATACTAAGCGAAAAGCCTCTGGCGCTTTCTGACATTTTTTTTAAAATTCTTTTTAGGACTAGCAAAGGCCTCTCGCCCAAGGCCTGCTCAACAGTTCTGGCATCCATCGGGGGGAAAACAAGGGAAAACATGGAGAACGTCACAGCAGGGACGACGAAGGCGATTAACCTGACATGCGGCATGTCCGGAAATCATGATATCATCTTCACCCTGGTGCCCATCGTCTACAGTTGTAATTTTGTCATCGGCATTGTGGGCAACAGCATGGTGGTGGCGGTCATCTTCTGCTACATGAAGCTCAAGACGGTGGCCAACATATTCGTGCTCAACCTGGCCGTGTCCGACCTCACTTTCCTCATCACGCTGCCCATGTGGGCCACGTTTACGGCCATGGACTACCACTGGCCCTTTGGGGGATTTCTGTGCAAGACCAGCGCAGGACTGGCCATGTTGAACCTGTACACCAGCACCTTCTTCCTCACCGCGCTCAGCATCGACCGCTACTTGGCTATTGCGCACCCCGTGCGGTCGCGACGCTTCCGCACGGTGGCGTACGCCCGCATCACCTGCGTGGTGGTGTGGCTCGTGGCTTTCGTGCTCAGCGTGCCCACGGCATTGACGCGGGACGTGATGAATGTCGCTAACTCCAACAATACTTTGTGCGGTGTCCTGCACCCGTCTAACCCAGCCGACCGTGAGAGGCTGAAGGGCGTCCGGCTGGCCATCAGCCTCATGAAGAGCCTGATGGGCTTTCTGGTCCCCTTTGTCATCATCATCACGTGTTACTGCCTGATTGGGCGGGCGCTGGTGGGCGCGAGGAACATCCAGAAGAGCGCCAGGTCCCGGGACGATGAGGTTCTGCGTATGCTCGCCGCCGCCGTCCTGGCCTTCTTCCTGTGCTGGATGCCGCACCAGGTGTTCCACTTCCTGCAGGTTCTCACTCAACTCATGCTGGTGGAGAACTGCACCATGGTGGAAATCATTGACACCGCAATGCCCTTCACCATCTGCCTGGCTTACCTGAACAGTTGCGTCAACCCCATCGTCTACGGCTTCGTTGGACGCAACTTCCGCAAGAACTGTAAGCGGCTGCTTCGCTGCTCGCCCGCCGGACCCCCGGGGACACACCCGAGCATCAGCTCCAAGATGAGTGCACTGTCTTTTCGGGCCTCCGAAGCCCTGAGCCTGACGGCCCTAAAGAGCAAGGCTTCGTCGGACGGGAAGTAAACGAGGGGGAAAATACAGCGGCCGAAGAAGAAGACATTCCGTGGTTGGAAAACCTCCAACGCTCCAAGCACTGAAGCATGCAAAGACCGTCTTGATGTCCTGTAGCATGCTGGTCTGACAGTCTCAAGTTATATTTAGAAGAAATATATGTACGCCCTTGCGGGGTGCACCCATACAGACAATGAACCCAAATGTGAGCATTTTCCCTCCCTTGCAATTAAAGTTAGCAAAGGCCCGATTACTGGCTGTCTCTAAAATATTCTGTGGTGGTAGGTGGTATAAGAGTTGGTTTTTTTTTTCGCCCCACTCTGCACAGAAAACAAATGCAGCCAACAATTTACAACCTGAAACGCGAGTAGCCTTGCGCACCGTAGGCGCATGGTATTGAGCGGGTTACAAAATATACTCCCAAGACAAGCTGCCCGAATTTGAGCTTTTTCCCTCCGCTTAATCGAGTCAGCGAGGTCTCAATTATCGCCGTGTGTTTGGGGTATTTTTTCCCCCTCCCTGAGCTGCTTCAAAAACGATCCGGGATGACAATTGTCAATAGTGTTCGAACCTTCCAATGACAGAGGTTTGTCATGTGTGGTCAACACAGAGTTGGGCTGAACCACGGATCTCGTGCTTGTGACGTGCAACAGAAGCATAGTTCGTTAAGAATACACACGTACCGACAATCGGGTTAAATCTGGGCAGATTTCCTTCCTTGAAATCAAAGACGGCAAAAAGCCAGACGTGAAGATTATCCTGAGCAATTATCCTGCGGTGTGGGGTGTCCTAAGAGTGATTCGATCTACTGAGATAAAGGAGACAATGGTATATGTTGATTTTATTTTTATGATGGAAAATCGTTGCTTGTGGCCAAAGATGACTTGGGACCATCCACGGACTCTGCGAGCGTGGTACGAAAGTGGAGTGACAGCCATTTAAGCAGGGTACATAGTGACAATCGGGCCAGTCAGGAACCGACCGAAGCTCGCCTTGTTGCCCGTCACTAAGACAGGACACACAAATTGATCATCAAAGTTAAGAGTCCCAAAATTAGCCCAAAGCGCCTGACCCCTAAAATAAAATGGTTAACTTCCTGTCCAATTTCAGGCATGCCTCCTCAAGTGTTTTTTTTTTTTTTGTGTATGCTGTCATGATAGATGCGTCCCTGTTGGTATGCTTGTATACCGCTTTAGCAAAGCGTTGGATGTAGCATTAGAGCTTCGGTCATAACGACGCTTACCGGTGAGAACATGTTTTGTGTTCTCAGCAGCTCCTTCGCCAGTCGGCGGCATGGAAAAAAGTCACGTGAAAAACATGGCGTAAATGTACTGTACGGCATTTTAAAAAAATATATATCGAGGAAGCTATCTGGATGTTGTGCTGTCCAATGTGCTCCCCGTGCTAACGTCAAACAACATCATTCATTCTTGGTGGTAACAAGATGTACAAAAAAAATGTTGAAGTGGGCGGTTGTCTTTGTGGTATTTAAATATGTTGATATATTGTTTTCTACTGTTTGTGTGTACAGTTGTGAATATGTGACAGCATGAATAAAAATCGATAAGGAACATTAAAGTGGACACGATTCTATCGTTCTTACTTCCTCGGCTGATCATGAAATGTCATCATTCCGAAAAATGTTCACCTTGCAAGTTTGAATCCCTGGAGTTTATTAATGATTGACTTACGCATGGCAGCCACTGATTGCGGGGGATGGGGTGGGGGTGAGGTGGGG